AAACAATGTTAATCCAATTCAATAAAACGAAATAAATTGATTTGTAGTATTTGGCACAGTCTTTGTTACAGCTCCTGAGCACAATCACCCCCGAGCAACCGGAGCGCACACAAAAGTAGCAATGAGGATGTGTTTGGGATTAGCACCGCTTCGGGAGCGGAGATCTAGACCACGCAAGGGTGCCGTGGCGGTTTTTTATGAAGTATTTATGTCATATTTGAATGATGCTTACGCGCCCAAGAATTTAACGCAGCGGAAGGATTACCACGGGACGCACGCTCACGAGGATGTTCACGAGAGGCGTGGAACGAGCTCACGATGGCAGGCGCCTTTGGTGCAACAATGTCATCGACACGCTCGGCTAGTACAGTCCGTGCAAAACCAAAATAATTGTGTGGCCTCGGCCCTACACACAGCGTGGCAGCCAAGTGAGCACGCCTGGACTTGCATTAATACCACAAGCAACCGAATTGAATTTGTGAATGAAAAAAGCCTCCTTCAACTCTCTGTCGTGATCAGAGCTAAATCCAGATTCCAGAAGGATGACACGTATTTTTTCAATGCTATGCTCTTTAAGATGCATGTGTTTTGAGAAGGGGAGCGTGGGTAAGGACTTGATATGAGACTTGTGATTGTTGAAGCGCAACCGAAATGAGGTACTGGTTTGTCCTATATAATCCATGTTACATAGTTTACAGCGTAAAAGATAAATAACGTTACGCGTACCGCAGTTGAGGTTACCAGTGATTTTGAAAGAAAAGCCAGAGTTCGCGCTAGTGACAAGATTGGTGGTTTCGACATATTGACAAATTTCACACCTGGGCGTCTGGCAAGGTCTACAACCAGAAACATCAGAAGTTCTATTTTTCGAGTGCACCAATATGTCCTTAAGGTTTCTACCTCGTCGATATACCACGCGTGGTGATACCGGAAAAAGGGTGCGTAATTTATCGCTTTGCTGCAAAATACTGTGATGTTTCCTGAGAATATTGTTTAAATTTGGAAGGCGGGCTGAATATGTAACCACCAGGTTGGCGTTCTCGTTTTGTGACATTTTGGGTTGGGGTTGATTGATAACTTGCTCTCGGTCGAGAGCACGTGCTTTTTCAATGGCCTTATCGACAATGGCTGGTGGATAATTCTGCTTGGATAGCACGAGTTTCAGATTGCTGGCGTTGCGTTCGCCGAACGCAACGCCAGCAATCTGAAACTCGTGCTATCCAAGCTTCTTGTGCTATCCAAGCTTCTTGTCTAGTCGCTCTCTGCAACCTCTGGTTTATAAGCGATACATCGATGATATATTTATGGTATGGGCACACGGGGAGTCAGCACTCACAGATTTCATTCGGGATTTCAACGGTCTCCACCCCAGTATTACGTTTTCGCACAGTTATTCTAAAACGAGCATTGATTTTCTCGACGTAACAGTCGAGATCAGCGGGAATGCTCTTACAACAAAACTCTTCAGGAAGTCGACGGACCGTCAACAGTACCTGCACTTCAAGAGCTCCCACCCTAAACATTGCAAAACAAGTATTCCCTATTCTCAAGCTCACAGATTCCGGAGAATATGCTCCAGTTTAGATGAATTCGAACGCAACGCCAGCAATCTGAAACTCGTGCTATCCAAGCAGAATTATCCACCAGCCATTGTCGATAAGGCCATTGAAAAAGCACGTGCTCTCGACCGAGAGCAAGTTATCAATCAACCCCAACCCAAAATGTCACAAAACGAGAACGCCAACCTGGTGGTTACATATTCAGCCCGCCTTCCAAATTTAAACAATATTCTCAGGAAACATCACAGTATTTTGCAGCAAAGCGATAAATTACGCACCCTTTTTCCGGTATCACCACGCGTGGTATATCGACGAGGTAGAAACCTTAAGGACATATTGGTGCACTCGAAAAATAGAACTTCTGATGTTTCTGGTTGTAGACCTTGCCAGACGCCCAGGTGTGAAATTTGTCAATATGTCGAAACCACCAATCTTGTCACTAGCGCGAACTCTGGCTTTTCTTTCAAAATCACTGGTAACCTCAACTGCGGTACGCGTAACGTTATTTATCTTTTACGCTGTAAACTATGTAACATGGATTATATAGGACAAACCAGTACCTCATTTCGGTTGCGCTTCAACAATCACAAGTCTCATATCAAGTCCTTACCCACGCTCCCCTTCTCAAAACACATGCATCTTAAAGAGCATAGCATTGAAAAAATACGTGTCATCCTTCTGGAATCTGGATTTAGCTCTGATCACGACAGAGAGTTGAAGGAGGCTTTTTTCATTCACAAATTCAATTCGGTTGCTTGTGGTATTAATGCAAGTCCAGGCGTGCTCACTTGGCTGCCACGCTGTGTGTAGGGCCGAGGCCACACAATTATTTTGGTTTTGCACGGACTGTACTAGCCGAGCGTGTCGATGACATTGTTGCACCAAAGGCGCCTGCCATCGTGAGCTCGTTCCACGCCTCTCGTGAACATCCTCGTGAGCGTGCGTCCCGTGGTAATCCTTCCGCTGCGTTAAATTCTTGGGCGCGTAAGCATCATTCAAATATGACATAAATACTTCATAAAAAACCGCCACGGCACCCTTGCGTGGTCTAGATCTCCGCTCCCGAAGCGGTGCTAATCCCAAACACATCCTCATTGCTACTTTTGTGTGCGCTCCGGTTGCTCGGGGGTGATTGTGCTCAGGAGCTGTAACAAAGACTGTGCCAAATACTACAAATCAATTTATTTCGTTTTATTGAATTGGATTAACATTGTTTATAATTACTAATTTCAAAGATTTACGATAATTTTTTTGCTCCTGTTCTGAATATTTTTAATACCCTTCTTAGTAACTCTTCCTCTTCCACACGAACATCAACAAGAAGAAGAGGACATTTCACAACCATTCACCCTGAAGAAAAGCGGTCCCCGCTTGAAACGTCGGTGCAGTAAAGAAAGGCCTTTCCTGGATCTCCTCCACTTTCGTTTTACGTCCAACCGGCCCGTTGAACCTTCTTACCGTGTATATATATATATATATATATATCTATTACACCTGAATAGCGTTTGGGAACAGCCTGTATAGTTTTCGAAGCAGGAGGAAATGCGAATGAAGCCCCGGAGTTCGCAGAACATTATCATTGCGAGGTAGGACTGCTGCAAAAGACTGCTAAAAGCTCACAGGGATCTGAAGTTTCTTTTTTCCGTCTAGGGATTCGGGAGGAAGGTGAGGGGAAGCCTTGCCTCCTTCATCGATGAAAAAATCTGCTTATAATGAAACCAAAAGAAAAAAACAACGCAGGCTACCTAACAAACTAACTCCACATAGAAAAAAAAAAAAAAAAGCACGAGACTGGGGGAACAGACAAAAAACGGACAAGCACACGCACCGTCTCAAAACGCAGCTACAATACACGTTGTCACCCCAAAAACAATACTAAGAAGCCCGACTCCTAGCGCGGAACGTTATTAATTTCCCCATTAATGTGTTGAATTAAGATATATGTACAGTACGTGGCATCTTAGGTAATCTTTAGGTCATTTTACCAAGATGTACACTTCTCAAACGCTAAACGCATCATTTCTTCCTTCAACAACAATATCTTGTAAGAACTACTTCGTGCAGCGCAATAATGCCCAAAATTTCTTTCCTCTTGATGCGACAACGAGTATTGCGCAGCTGCGTCTTGAGACGCTGTGTGTGCTTGTTCGTTTTTCTTAAAGATTGGGGGATCGGTGGCCGAGTGGGCTAAAGCGCACACCCAGCTCGATGCGCGTGTAGCGAAAGCTCGCGCTGCAGAACCCAGGGATCCTGGGCTCGAGCCCCACCCCTGCCCGTTTTGATCTGGATGAGCATCGTACTGGCGTGCGGTCGTGTATCACTACTGCGTGGTGCACGTTAAAGACTAGCGGTTGTACTGCACTGACTAAATTGCTCATCTACAGCGTGTGAGTCGTCGCAACTTTAATGGCTGACCAACTACACGCTGTATAAATATCCCCACAACCCCAATTTTTCTTAAAGATTTGTTTCCAGTCTCAATTTTTCATTGTGGACTATATTTATGCTGTTTTTTTTCTGCCAAGTTGACTTTTGCATCGCAGAACGAATTGTAACCTGAGGGTACATTGAAAGTAATAAGTGAATTTTCTGAGCAATTAGTACTCACATATTTCGCTTCAGAGTTGAGTGTTTACAACTTTATTCAGTTACTTTTTGCACGTTTTTTGTTTTTAGTATTTTGTACAAGTTTGCCATTGACACACTGCTTGGAAGGACTACAAGGCAAAATGTGGAATTCGCACATCTAAACTTAAGTATTGACTAGGTACTCTAGAAGACCGTAGGATTTACAATGATAAAGTAGTGAGTGCGCAGGCGAGCTGGTGGATGTTAACCATTTTGTTCTTAGCCCGAGACTGAGGCAGGAAAAGAGGAAAGTTTCAAAGTAGAAGAAAAATGAACAAGGCGGTAAGTTGGGCTAGTTGGTTGAACATCGTCAAACGTGAAAACAGCGCAAAAAATTGAACCAAGGACAAGTGAAAGAAGTGCACGTTGTAGCGCACCGTCGGTGCACTTGGGGGATGATGAGGTCCATTTTATCAGGGAGAATGGCAGGTACGTGTGAGGGTGATGACGTGGTAGAAATCCTGTCGGTTGGGTTGTATAATTTTTTTGTGTCTTTATTGGTTCTTTCCTATGCTCTGTGTTTATTTTTCTGGTTCGCCTGAAAATTAAACTTTAGTTGACAGTCAGCGCTTTGTCCGTGCACTTCTTTCACTTGTCCTTTGTTCAATTTTTTGCGCTGTTTTCACGTTTGACGAAAAATTAACAGTCGAGGACACGTCTCTATTTACAGCTCGCTCCGAAACCTAATTTATCTATAGATTACGATGCGCATAGTCAAGGAAAGCGTGGGCGGAATTCACAGGATTTCAACATGTTTTATGGACCGTATGGGCGCGAAACAGTTGCCTCGGAGAAACGGAAATTACGACTTACCGCCACGAAGGTAAAGAGGTAGAAGCCGAGTGCCGCGTGGCCCGACGGGAAGGACTTGTACATGTCCACCAGGATCCGGGACTCCTTATTAGTGCACTCGTACTGCGTCACCAGCCTGCACGAAGTCGGTTGGTTCGCGCCGCCTTAGACCAAACAAGGAAGATCCATCCGCCGTTTCCGTCGCTCTATTCTCAATCCTCCATCAACGCGCCCATTAAGCCGGGGTCACACTGCTTGTACATCAATGGCCGTGCTTCGATACAAGGGCGAACAAGGAGAACGAAGGACAAACATAAAACTCCAAACTCAGTGAGGTGACTGGTGCGCCACCGAAAAAATCCGCCTGGTCCTGGTATCGAACCAGGGATTTCTCCATTTTCAGCGAAAAGGACCCTGGTTTGTCCTTTGTCTCTTTGGTCCCCCTAGTTCCCCTTCTCCAGGGATTATTATCACCATTCTTGTACAGCTCGCTTCCACCTTTGCATTAATAGCATCATCATAAGTATAAATATCCGTCAGTACCCAGCAATGGCTACACTTGCAAGGTATGCATAGCATGGACAGTCGCGTTGGACGATTTCTCCATGGCTGCTGTTCGTTCGGCATCTTCGAGGTGCCGAGCTTGCTGTAGGAGCGATGGCAGATTGAGGTACAGTCTCAAAGCATACCCGTCTGAGCTGTGATGACATTGTGGAGAATATTAGTTGGCTTTTGAGTTTTGATGTCAGCAAATGTGAATTCACAGTTAGGAGCATGAAGCCGAAGTCGGATTGAAAATTCACTCACACACTCTTCCTCAAGGCTTTTAATGCGACATGATTCTTTAGCAACCCTCCTCCCTCTCCCCTTCTCCTCTCCTCCCCCCTCCCCCGAGTTTGTGGACGTTTCTAGCCTCCTCCTTCTCAGTTTCCCCGCTAAATTTGGCGGGAGAATTGACGTCACGACCTATGGACCACTTTAGTTTCCCCGCTGAATTTGGGGGGGAAAATTGGATTAAAAAAATAAAGTGTCTACTCAAAATTTTCGTCGTCGTATTCACAGTGAGCTGCATCGTGAGTCTAATGACGAATGCTGTCGAAATTCATAGATAACCAACAATTGTGTGCTGCAGCCATGTTTTTCTTTTCTTTTTTTTTTTTTTTTTACTGACGAAATTTAAATAGGGAGTTTTCGTAGATCGTTTTCGCCGTCCCGCAAGGCCCTCCGCAATCCGCTACGATAGCGGGAACTTCACAGTCAAGGCTATCGGCGCGCAGGCGCAGAAGCAACTTCTTCGTTGCGGAACGCTTAGCGGAGGGGGCAACGCGGGCTACGAAAACTCCCTAATATTTCTAACGTAGTGTTCCTGCGTTAGTTGAAGTGGGCGTAGAGCTTGTCTTTGAGAATTCGGTATGTGCCCAGAATTGTAGATGCTGATGTCGTTGCAGTTGAGGAGCCAGGTGATAGCCTGTGGCTGAATGCCGGATTATTCGGCAGGTCAGTCTCGGAGAGGTTGTGAACTCGTTCTTCCGCATAGTGAAGTAGAAGAACCCGTTTGCGTCCGCAGTCTTAAACGCCAAAAGCAACGAGAAAGTTTTCTAATCTTGCTATCTACTTTCGCAACTCGGAGCCGATGTTGCGTCGGTGGCGTCCAAGTCGAAAATAGATAAAGTAGTCAGAATCAACGTCATTGTATTGGGGTGATTATAGGCTTAGCAATGAAGCCGATGTTTTAAGTTCAGCAGTGGCGTGCTATGTAATTGCGCAGGGGAATGAAATTTCAGAACTGCAGCGGGAGACAGTCTAGCATCCTTGTCACCAATGTAGAATGGCAAACGTCTTCAATAGGACTACGCCTCACCGCGGCGGGTAGGGTGAATACTCGGAAGTCATTCCATTATATTCTCCTCTTTGTTCACACCGCTGTATGCGGTGTCCGGGTGCTCATATGAATTCCACCTCACTACAGTCAGCAGGGGGGGGGGGGGGGGGGAAGGGGGGGGGGGGGGGGTATCGGACCTCTATGTTATTAGCCGAGATACCGCAAGATTTCGCAAAGGCATTATAAAATTTCGAGAAGGACAGCACCATGTATAATAGATCGTCGCTCAGTCGAACTGCTCAGTTCTCGAATTTATTCTTCGCTTGCTATGGTTTTTATGAAAGCCTGAGTTTATTCTCACAGAGGCAAACCGTCATAGAAAATAAAATAAAACGCAATGGGGGGAAAGCGGTCAGCAACAATATGCAACCGAGTACTGCTGATCGCTATCGATTCCAGAACGTTCTCGGTTTGAACAGACGCGGCAACGCGGCAAAAGGCGCGTGGTTCTTGGCGTAGGTTTTGACCAAACTCGATGACTTCGCCATCTATTACCGTCCTGGATGACTGGATTGAATTGATGCAGTGAAGGAGCACACCTTCTCCTTCAGGCACCCTAGTTATGGTGCCGGAGTTGCTACTGTGGCAGAAACGGCGGCACTGCAATCGTATCCATCTCGACGCTGCATCACATTCTGTGTTACCACTGATTCTGCCACAATGAGGGAAAGGAGATATGCTCTTCCTTTCTTCAAGGGCAACTCCGGTCCATACTTTCGATTTTGGGATTATGGCTGTTTTTAGTGCAGTTAGCGCCCCTGAATTGCAAGGTGTAATTTTTTTCTCGTTATTGTGCGTAGTTTTAAAGATATCGACGTCTCCAAGTTTCGTTTGGGGCGCGGCCGACAAAACCGAAACTAGCCGCTCGAGGTTCCGGCAACACTGGAAATCAGCCGTTATGTGGACGTGACGCCAAGATCATTCTCGTTCAGCGAGTATACGCAGTCCAAGCGGCACCTACCTCTGTTTCGCTAGCCGTCTAAAGATAGAAGGTAAGCTGATTTTGTTTTAATTCTGTATACGTGGTAGTTATCCAGCACATGTAGCAATTAGTGCGTATACCCAAAAGCTAGCGACTGGAAAACCCGTCAACTCGTTCGGTGGCGTACTCGGCGGCCGCCTCCGCGCGTGCGCTATGCCGTGCCGTACTCGTTGCTTGTATACCCAAAAGCTAGCGACTGGAAAACGAGTGAACTCGTTCGGTGCCGTACTCGGCAGCTGTCGGCGTGCGTGCGGTCTCCCGCACTCGCCGCTAGGCCTCCGTGGATGGAGCGGTGTTGCTCTACGCCGCGCTGCCAGTGACGTACAGTGCTGGCGCTTTCGCGCGGCGGGTCAGTCCCAGACACGAAGCTTTGAGGCTCTCCGGCGCGTTCCGCGACAACCGAACAGACGTGTGTCAAGTTGTAGACGTCTGTTTTTTCGTTATTTTTTCCTCAGGCGCGTAAAAGCCGAATTTGTAAGCTACGACACTAATTCACCACATAAGTTCGTCCAGGTAATGAAGCTTTGTACAAAAAAAAAAAAAAAAAAAAAAAAAAACTTGCTGCACTAAAAAAAAAAAAAAGTTCTTTGGGCGGCCATTTTTTTCTCAAAGTTAGCAAAAGTTTTTGTAGGTGATAAAGGAAAACAGAGAACGTTAGCAAGGTGAAAACACTTTCTTTCCCTTCCGCATTCCCACCCCCACCCACAACAATTTTTTTTTATTAGAATACATAGGATTTTAAGTTTTCCTTCGTAACTTTTGACTAAAGCAAGTGTTTTTTTTTTTTTTTTTGCATTTTTAAATATTATATTTACGTCCAGCCGAACTCGGGCAAATTAGAGAGTTGTAACTTACAAATCCGAACTTTCGCGATTTCTTAAAGTCCCTTGTGGTATTCACAAGCGCAATGTTAATTAATACTGCTGCGTAACGGGTTCGAACGATTGGGAGGCGAATGTTTATATCGCATGAGCTTCACGCGCCGGCTGTTCGCTAGTAGTCGCTATGGACCTGAATACTACGCACGAGATTGCGTAGTAAACAAGCAGTGACGCAAAGCAGAACATTGTTTTCGTTTTCATTACAAACTTCAGTGTTTGGAGCTAGTTAGTGGTTGTACTCTACATGCCCACCATTCCCCATTCAACGGACATTCAATGGAGCGTGAATGCTCAATCTTCAACACTGCACTTGACAATGACTGTTTTATTTATTGATCAGGATACTTTTATCATGTTTACCTTTTCTGTACATGTACGATGGGCAAAGAGCGACGGCACGGCATCCTTTTTAAGCCTCGACCCCTTCGCTGACAAGCCACAAGGAACCAACACCTGTATAGTTTCGTTCGTAACTCTCCGGCGAAAAATGATCGGAGCAGAGCATCGATCTGGGGGTCGACATCCAAGGCTTTTCAAAGTCCACTAGTCGAACAGCGTTCACCCACACCTTCTCCAATTTCCGATCCGTTGGAAGCTTGTGAAAAAGCACCTCCGGGTTGCGCAGCGGCTTGTTTGAGCAGCCCACAGCGCTTTAAGTTGTACTCGGCATCTTTCGAGCAACAGCTGGGCAGTCTTGGGCGCACCGAGTTGCTCGCTAAAACGAGTCTAGGAGTCCTCACAAGCAAATAAACAAAAGGCTATACCGAAGCTACACGGGCTACAGGTAAAAGCAACGGCTTAACACGCAATTACAAGCCGAAGTAGCGGTGGTAGCGGCACAGAGAAGCGCGCGCGACGGCTGCGCCGTGCGCCCGTCCGGAAGAGAGGAAAAAAAGAGAACGATGTTGACATCACGGCCCAATGTTGCTTTAGCGATCGGCAACCCGCTGGCCGCCCGCTAAGGAGCAGCGGCTCGCGGCGGGTCGCGTTTTTATGATCGGCACTAGTTGAGAATGCGGCGTCCCACGGACGTGAAATCTTGGCTGGGGTCGTATTTTGTGTCACTAAAGCGATACCAGTAATTTAATTCATTTTGAGTTTTGGCCGGAGTTGCCCTTTAAGTCTATACTATAGTCTATACCATAGTTGCGCATTTCAAAAGGATTCAAAAGCAGTTCGAAAGTGTTCAAAACACGGGCGACGAGGAGGGCGGGTAACTGGAGGCTGTATGTCTCCGTCCTCCATTTTAAAACAAAATGTGTTGTATGGGTTGTCTAATATGAGAAAATTATCACAAATGAGCGTCACAACCAGCGACAGGCTGGGAGCGTAATCCATTTTCCCCGCTAAATTTAGCGCGGAAATTTGCGGCGTGACTTGACTTCACGTGACCTATACACCGTACCAAATTTCCTGATAAATTCAGCGGGGGGGAAAACGACGAATCAAATAGTTTTTTTTTTTCTCTCTTAAATTTCGCGGGGACAAAACAACAACAACAAAACAAATTTAATAAAAAATAATTAAGAAGTGTGTGTGATCCGTCCGGGCACATTCTGTGCTCCCTGGTCTTTGTGAGCATAATTAAGCTCGCGTATTTTGTATCTTTCGAGTGGTTTGATTACAGTCCTATTCACAACGCGCTGGTACCATTTACTCTGAAAGGAACGACAAGCGATAGACCCTTTTCAGAAGTCCATCAAGCAACATTGACGGTCGCCATTTCTTGGCCACGAGACGTGTAATTGGATACGAGTTCTCGCCGAGTGCCGACGCAAACCTCGAGTCCAATACACGCTCAGAGTAGGCACCCAAACAATGGCGGACTCGGAAAACAACGGCCCCTAGACGGCGCGCACTCTTGAAAGGGATGCAGCGAGTAGCAGCAGTAGGGAGCGGCGTATACCCTCGCGAGCAGTCGAGCCTGTCCCAGTCCGGCCTACAAGAGTCCAGGAAGTGCGGCCTTGGCTGGGTCACCAGGGTCTTGACCACCTCGACGGCCACGGAGACCAGCTCTAGGCCGATGACGTAGTGGCGGAATGCCGACCCGATTACGCCCCAGTCGCGCGGTCCGCAGGGGTTCGCCCACCACTCCACCAGGGCGAGCTGCGAGCAAAGGCCAAACTCAAACTCAAACTCTATACTCAAGAAAAAAGTAAGCTTTAAGCGCGATCTGAACCAACGCGTTTCTGTGCGCTCGTAGGCCGTGCACTACCCGGAAATTGCGTATTTCGAGACGTTTTTGCTCTTTCCGGGCGCTTTCTGAGTCACAGCCATGCGCGTTAATTAGGACGGTGCGGTTTCGGGCGAGCGGTGCGCATCTGCGCCAGACGGCGAAGAAACGCGGAGCAGGAACTAGGAGAGGAACGTCCTACTACGTCACAGCGTGTTTTTGTGCGCCTTCAGAAAAAAAGTTGAAATCATCCCATCCAACTTTCTCACGCGCGCCCGTAAGCCGCAAGGAATTACCGCGACGTCACGAAATACGGAATTTCCGGGAGCCGCATGGCCTACGCACGCACAAAAACGCCTTGGTTTAGATCACGCATTACGCACTGTTCATACGCTGCGAGGAAGTAGTTCCTACAATACTGGGTTGTCTGGGGCTAGAAAAAACGCTTTTGGCGTTTGAACCATGTGCGTCTTATGGCGAATTCGGGTGGTCAGTCGCCGGCGAGAACGAGCCGGCGGAACCGGCAACCAGAAACGCGCCGGCGGCACACCACGTGACCCTCACCACCCGAACACGAAACGCCAGAGGGTGGCAGTTTACTTCGCCTCTTGCCCGCGCGACACCCCTAGCGAGAGCCTGTCGCCGCCTTCACTCATGTCCCAACGACTTGGATTGACTTTCGTAGCGGCTGCTTAACTAACTTCAGATCAGTTTCGTTCTTTCGTTCATTTTTTTTCTCACTGACCTTCTCTCTCATTTCGGAAGTGACGACACCGGACACAGTCTGGCGTCTACTCGCCCGGCCGTTCGGAGCTCGGGCGGAAAAAGCGCCGGAAAGTTGCCGGTGCTTGCCGGAGAACCACCACCCGAACGGTGCGCGCCGGCCGGAAACTGACCACGCGAACAGTATTGCCGGTTTTCCGGCAAAATAAGTTGCCGACGATTGACCACCCGAATTCGCCATTAGTAAGATCACACATAGCTAATTTAAAATGCACCTACTTGTATCTTAATTCTTTACAGAGAGGGGGAAATTAGTAATGATCTGCAAAGAGCCAGATATGTTTTTTTTTTTTTTTTTTACAACGGTTCTTGAAGCGAGAACAAGTACAGAGGAAGAGCATTATTGTTTGAGGGGTGTTTTGAGAACTAGTACGTAGAATAACAGGAGATGGATACAATGTGTATTATATGCGGGAGAAAATTCAAACGAATTCAAAACGTAAGCCATTTTAGAATATAAAAGGCCCGGCCACCGAAAAGCATCACGGGATGAAGGTGACTTCCTCAGGGCCCCGAGATTCGATGAAACCGCCGAAACAAAATGCTTTGAAAAAACAGAGCTCAGTAAAAGAAGATCAGAGGACTGGTGGCTGAAATTAAGGGACAGATACAGGTTACATTTCTGGCTCCAGATTTTTTTCATCTGAAGCCCGCCCCCCCCCCCTCCCCCCCCCCCCCTCCCCCCCCCCCCCCAAAAAAAAAACAAAAAAAAAAACACGCACACACACAAAAATACATTATATGCTCACGTGGTTCAAGTCAGCGCTCGACGCAAAAGGAACAGCCGCCATGTGTTCTATCCATCCAAGAGTGCCCTCATACACGTCCACTAGTGTGGATTGATGACTAATCGGTATGCAAGTGGAAAAGAGGAGGAAACGAGACACGGTGAGATGGAGCGATCACGTGTTCGACGGAGCTCAGTCCTCGCAGCTGCTTCCCAGTCCGGAAACAGACGACGACTCGGCCGTGATATTCTGGTTTGTTGAACGCGTCTGGTTAGTCGACATGACCCTTTGAGGCCTTTCCTCTTTTCCTTACCGAAAGGTGACTACCTACGACCGTGTGCATTCTTACGACAAGAGAATACGCTGGTTCCATCCTACCGGGTAGAACTCTTCCAGTTTCTTTATATTTCCTTTTAGTTTTTTTTTTTTGCGAATCATTATTTCTTTTTTGGCTTGAAAACCTTCTGGACAATGTCGTAAACGACTATTTCCCATAAATAGTACGTAAATTTGACATAGCAAACACCGAAAAATCTTCGTTTTGGTTAAATGAAGTGCCAGGGTCACCTCAAGGAGAACCCCCCCCCCCCCCCCCCCCCCCATTTCCCCCTCTGACAACGAGCGCAACTGTAGTAGTGGCGACGCCAATACGACCGCGATGACACCTCGCGCAGGCCTTATCTTCTAAGTGGTCTTGATCTTGCTGAGGAAGGATAGGGATACGGGTTTCATGCAAGGAAAGGGTCAGAAGAGGGTCTCTATCGCCATCAAACGAGGCAGGAGCACACGCGCCGTTGTCCGCTCACCAGCGGGCCCGGGACGACGACGACCAGGAGCAGGATCTGGCCGAGGGTCACCGTGTCTCCCCGGAACGGGTGCCGGATGTCCGGGTCGTCGCACCGGAAGCCCGGAAGCTTGCTGGGCAGGAAGGCGCCTCGAATGGACGCCATGCACAGGAGAAGAAGCACTGCGCCAGAGAGGATGAAAATACGTCATCCTCTTCCATCGGCTCCACAATGTCCTGGGGGGCTATGCGCCAGAAGCACTCGCCAGTGCCTCTGGCGAGCAAAATAGAATCTGTATCACTCGCCTTTCAGTTGCGAGTCATTATGCTTTCTCACGTTTCTCACGGACGATAAGTTGGCATAATTGCATTGGTGGATATAAATTTGTGAAAGAAAACAACCTAAAAAAAAATCTACACGAAAACCATTTTTATGGTTTTGATAGGACATTGAAAGCGCGAGTTGCATTTTCCTTTTATTAAAACCTTTTCTGATTCTGCAGAAACTCTGTTACCACGCCTAGGCAGGTGCTGACAGACGCTTGTAACCCGCCGTGGCTCGTGCATGATCGAACACTGCAGTGCTACCTTATACTCGATGCAAGCCCCCCATTACAGGGTCTCGTCTTACGGACGCGCTCGCACCCCCTGGCCGAGAGAAGCAGGCCTACGGAACCGACTGGAGAGGGATGTTCAGGGTGGCACGATGAAGCCTTCAAACGCCACCCTGGAGATTATCCTCGGAGACTTTCCTGGGTTCAGCCAGCGTACTCATGACACACGCCAACAGATTTGGAGACCAACTGGACAGAGGACCGGCCCGTAAAAACCGTTTGGACCAGACGATATTCTGAACGCATTCCCGTAAAGATACACAGAGTGGGCGTCTCGGTACACATTTTTAATCTTTGAGGCTTCGCTCCGACACACAACGGGCTACCCGCAGATTGGGTATGTGGGAAAATTGTGCCGGCTCATAAATCCGGAAACAAGACGACTCTTCAAAATTATTGCCGTATATATTCAACAACAAAATTCTTTTTAAACGCATTATTTCGGAACATATAAATGAATGCTTTAAAGGCTTAGTGTACAATCACGAGAGTTGGACGATAGGGTTGATATATATATATATATATATATATATATATATATATATATATATATATATATATATATAAGGGCATGGTCGCGTAGGGTTGGCCGAAGGCGTGGAGTACACAAAGTTGAAAATCCCAAGTCAGAGAAACAAAAACACGGAAGGTTTATTTCAACGTTTCGGCAAGAGACTCTTGCCGAAACGTTGAAATAAACCTTCCGTGTTTTTGTTTCTCTGACTTGGGATTTTCAACTTTATATATATATATATATATATATATATATATATATATATATATATATATATATATATATATATATATATATATATAATGAAAGCTAAACAAAATGAGAGGGACGAGTAGAGACATGTCTGTCCTTCATGATATTTGTACAATCATCAAGATGGATTTAGGCGGGGCCCATCGACGACCGTTTCGTGTGGAATTTGTGATCGTTGCTGGCCGTCAGTAGGCAACGTGTAAAATTCAACGACTGCGGCCATCTATAGGAGCTGTTCTCCTCTCCAGCCACGCCCGCGTTTCCTCCGTTGCCCCCAACGTCGTCTGTGTCCTTCGTCTGCTATAGCTGGTTCTATACAGTATGCCCCTAGTAATCCTTTCGATGCCGCGAAGGCGCTGCACTTCTTGCAACCGGTCTATTTGGCTGAAGTCTCTATTCGGCTGAAGCCTCAATTTGACGTTCTAGTTGGGTTAATCTACAGTCGGGCGATAGTTTTAATTGCGACTGAAAGTCTTAATCAGGCTTACTTTACAGTTACGGAAGCATTTTCTTAATTCAGCTACAAGTTCCCATTGCGCTTAATTTTCAATTCGGTTGGACGCTCCCATTCAGTTTAGTTTGTAATTCGGTTACAAATTTTCAGTTCGGCTGATAATTTCGTTGGAAGTCTGTCAAGACTTTGGCTGTGCTGTTGAGCTGATACTTTCAGCTAGACATCCTTAGTTTGATGGGCAAAAATGTTCTTGTTTCAGCTGGGAAACTGCAGTACACCAGCACATACGTCAAGCCGAATGGACACTTGCGCGTTTGTTTAGTCGGCGTCTACTCCATCTCGTTACGAGGTGGAGAGGAAGGAAAGTTTAGAGAAAGGAGGGGCTAGTTTCGGTCGGTCCTCCGGCCGCACGAGTATACACGTGGAACCAAGGTCCTTTCGACAACAAGCACACGGCAAGTCTTTGCTGCAGTCCGCGTGACGCAGTGGAGCAAGCCTCTCGCGCAGTGCACGACGCGGAAGGCGGAAACACGACATCGGTCATCCTTTTCTTAGCATCATACTTATTTCGGATAATGAAGAACAGCAGTTGATACTGTCCGAGTCAGTAGCACGCACAACTAAGTTTATTCCACCGTATACCACAACTTTTGATGGCAGTCTATCTTTTGTGCGAGAAACACTAGAAACCGGTCATGAATTGCTTGTGTTGACTGCGTCTGCGGTCAACGCGGGCACGTTTCGAAATGCACGGATATTTTCATCGCGCTCTCAGTGTTCTCACAGGCGAAATTGGACACTGGAGAGAAAAGTGTTTCTAAGAAGCCTCGCATGGCTGAGCTGGCGTTTGCTGGAGGGCTTCGGTTTCTTTATTTCCTTCCCCTGCAGAAGCCTCAGAAGCCCCAGGTTCAAGGCCCAAGTACAAGAACGAGTAAAGCCACTTAGCGATTCATCGACCGAACACGGCTTTGCAATGGATGGCTGAATGGATGGATGGCTCGATGCACATGGCTTAACCCTTTATATGGGGTGGCGGCTTGCACCACCTCGCCAATGTGTTTAATATTAGGACTGATAACCTCTACCTAATCTGTGAAACGCAAAATAGGTCGTGCAACAATATTGGGTAAGAATGTTTCTCAACTTACATGGGCTTACTGGCCCTGTTATGAACCAAGTGTGTTGGCACGCAACGCCACTGACCATGAGAGCCTCATTGTCGCAGGGTAAATTGAAGGATAAAAGCGAACTTTTTCTTTCAATTTCCCCTTTCAGAAAGCTTGGGGGATCGCATCAGTGGTGTTGTAAACAATGCGAGTTACAGGATTTTGTCATCAAGTTTTGCAAAGAAGGATGAGGGACTGACTAACTTTTTGCTATCTAAACAACATAATTTTACCTGCGCGGCCAAAACCTCTCGCCAAAACAAGAGTAATTTCCTTTCGCACACGTTGAGTTCGCTCGCACGTGCTTTAAACCATTATGTACGGGCGCAGGGAAGGAGAAAGCTATCTGTAGCGCTGGAGCAAAGGCAGCAGCTGTGTATCGCAAACGCTGAAACCTTCACTTCTCTCTTTTGGCTTTCTAGTTTGTTTCACCTATTTTTTGCTGACTCATTTAGGCCTCGTTTCGGGGTATTCCTTATCTCAAAGGGGGCGGTGTGTGGCGTTTCCCGTAAGTCATGCCAACACATTCCCCAAGAATCCACCAATGGATCTTCCTATAATTTTTTTCCAACCCTTTCCTGTACTCTGCCTGTCAGAATACATCGACGCCCTTGGATACAGTCATCCATATCCCTCGCGGAAAAAACCACATCCATACCACTAGTGAAAGGAACTGCATCGATATCACTCAAGGAGAGAATCGCATTTATCGTTTTAACTACACACACACAGCATAGCCCACGCACTGTTACAACGCTAGCATTGCGATTTATTAGGTAAAGGGGATATAAGGTGCGACCATGTTTGGTTCGCTAAGTTGTTTTTCCGCTAGTTCAGACCCTGGATCTTTGTAGAGAGCATGCTCCTACAGTATACCCGTTTCTCGGTGTCATTTATGTTTCACAGTGTAAGCTGTCAATACATTTTTATTCATTAGCCAATCGCCTTGAGAGGTTTTGGTCATCTGTATGTTAGTATTTGTTAGTGTTCGGGTAGCAGGCAGGGAAGGCAGCGGTGCTACTTTCCCAGGCTCCGGTGACTTTATGTTAAACTGGTCTATGACAGGTTGCTCACAGCAGTAACGCTTACGTTTGGAATACTCTTACTGCTGAGCATGAAAGAATGCAAACACGTTTTTTTTATTTTTAGATAGACGAGAATCGGCCAGCCTGAGACATTTCAGGCTGATTACCGTCAATGCTCGTAGTATTCCAAACAAACTTGATGGTTTTGAAACTTTATTGGTTGAGCACCAGCCTGACGTTGTGGTTATCACTGAGACATGGCTGCACAGTTTCATTGGCCACTCTGAAATTGTACCCACGGGTTTCAAAATTACCTGAAAAGATCGCCGTTATCGAGGTGGTAGCGTTGCAATCATGTTCAAAGTAATGTACCTCGACGAGCTTGCGTTTGCCTTACAAGCAACGTCAAATGCGCCAGTGCACGAGGTCCGTGTCTCGAGCGGCCCTTGGAAGCAAATGGCGTCGCAGCGCTGAAATGAGCGGAACCTGGAAGCGAATGGCGGCGGAGCACCCGCTCGTGCCACGTGTCTTGTGCGTTTCCACAACAATGGTTGGAGGTACTTGTAAGCGTGAATCTTATAAAGGAACTTTAGTTCACAGATACGCTCAACTTTACCGTTATACGTAATGTAGAGGGAACTGAGTCATGCTGAGCCAAAATAACTTTCTTTTCTTCTCCTATTATTATTTGTGGTGCTTATCGGCTTCCGGGTGCACCCGTATCGTTTTGGAACACGAATTCTTTTGTCTTACATCTATTGTCCAGAAATATAAGCATGTCATTGTCGCAGGAGACATAAATCTTCCTTATATAATGTGGGAAAACCTTTGACCAATGAATCATAATATTTCCCCTTTTGTCTTATCAACGGAAACATCGTTCAGTCTGAACTTGTGCGAAATCGCTATGACACCCGCAGGCATTCAAGGCTTGACGTCAAATATTATTGGCCTTATGCTTATTTCAGATGACATAGAAAGCGTATCTTTCGAGAGAAGCCTCTGAAGGCACTTCTAACCGTAGTTTTATTTTTAATATAATTCATCTTGTGTTAAAACAATTAAACCTACTCATTCCAACACGCGTGCGGTGTAGGATTTTAGGAAAACGCAGGATGAAAGTGTGATTGACGAATCTGACATTAGGCAAGATTGATT